TTTTTTTTTTGTCATTCAATATCTTAGCATAAATACAACAATTAAGCTGATCACAAAGTGATAATTTGTTCGCATACTTCAAGAAAGCAAGGTGAAAAATGTTCAAATCTACTATTGCAATAATGATATCGGCGACTGAACTTTATCAACTGGCCTGTCAAAACTGAAAGAAAGAATGATGGCGTTTATTCGGGAGGAAGCCTACTTAAAATTTTGGCCCACTCAACTGGCGCTTATTCTCGGAATTACAGCATCCTTGTTCTGCTGGGAGATATCTGTTTTCAGTTTTGTTAAGCCCGCGGTGAAAAGTAGAAGTTGCGCATGTTGAGTTACAAGTGAGAGTCAACAACTTTCGGAGAACTCTTCTCAACAAATAAGAAATAGACAGTCAAAGACTGCATGTGGATTTTGGTATAGCTCAACCTATTTAGCACTGAAAAGAACTAGAAGTTGTTTTAATGAGGTAATGTTCCAGGATATTTGTTTCACGTGTAAAACAGAAAACCTGCTGGATCCCACGTATTTATAAGTAGGCTGTTCCACAAAAGAAAGATGATTCAAGAATATATTGTCTAATTGACATTCAACCAATAATTGAAATGGTAACAAATAATAATATTTACAATGATGATAATGAATATTTACATAATGATATATCAAAGGGATTAGCTCGAAAGCCTCATGGTTCCCCTGGTTCTCTAGGCTCCAACAATGATTACCTATGCTTCCTTTAATTTTGCCTGTTAATTGGAAACAGTTTTTTCATTTTATTGCAATTTCATTTTTTGAGACTTTTGTATTAGAATATTCCGTCATTCTGCGTCTTAAGATATTCCGCCATTCCGCCGTTCCGTTTCCCCACTCCATCACTCTGTTAAATAACTGAAGGTATCGTATTTTGCAGCTTGTTCGCTTCGCTCTCTTAAATTAGCGGCCCTTTTCGGCAAAAGTCGCTGATTCAAACAGTAAACCGCTCTCCTTTCAACGAAAAAATTTTATTCAAAGCTAACACGTTGTGCAGATCACGTCTATTGAGATATTTCTGCGGGGAAAAGGGCCGGAGCGAATTCAAATATTTCAGTCCAATTTTTGGCAAACCGAAATTTAGCAAAATCTTCACAGTTTCCAAATTTTGGCGGCAATCGCATCAAACTAAAATCCTCTAACCAAAAGTTCACTGATCGATTCATATACCAATCACAAACCCATCTCATTCTTAAAAGAAATACGGCAAAACGGATCCCTTTTTCCGGCTGATCTTTCGCGTTTTGGTTGACGCTTGCGCCCTTGTGCTGGCTTCAATACTTGCAGCGGAAGGAGAATTTCTCTTTCAAGCCATGCGTTCTCTAAATTGCTGTCGGTATAACCGGACCCGGGGAACGATTCATGGACATTTGACTAAAAGCGGCGCTCAGATTCGTGGACGAGGAAAATCCTGCTATCGCACACCAAACTAGACGAGCGGACAAAAATTTTTTTCCCGATGAAATTTTATCCAGATAGGTCTTGCATATCATGACAGCTAAAAAAACAAAAAGAACAAACAAAAAAAAAGCATGACTGTCTGTTTTGCCAAAATTTGGAGGCCTCCGAGGCAGGATACTGGGTTGTTTAAAGATTGGCGAAAATTTGGCGATTTGCAAAAACTTGGCAATTTTTTTCAAACTGGGGGTCGTACTAAACTTACGCTACTTGTTGAAAGATTTTTCATTTAAACAAACAAACAGAAAAACTCTAGTGCGACAATCATGCGCCGGTGAATGCCACTGTAAAATTATTTTGAGATGTTAATCGTCTTTGATAGTGTCATGTAAAGCAAGAACCGAAAGATTATGTTGTTGGATATACATAATTTACTGATTTAAACGGTAAAATTTATTTATTTATTATTATTTATTATTTATTTAATGATTTGTACCAAGTAATGGAGCAGAAACAATAGGACATGGGTCCCCTACGAGGTTTAAGCTCCAACAAACCCACCCATCCCATCCCAGAGGGAGGACATCCATCACACAGTAATCTCGTGCGTGGGAAATTAACCTCTCCTACCCCTAACCCTGCAGGAGACGGGACCTCCATTTATTCGTCCCTATCCGAGGAGACTAGAATATCTAACCATTTCTTGATGTTATAGAAAGNAGAATTATAACATAACCAAAGTAAAGCGCGCGCTCTGATTGGTCAATTTAGCGTCCCCCATTTGCCCATGGGTGTACGCTGCTGACGTGAGCAAATGCAAAGACTATTTTTCCGCGCGCGCTTGTTTTTTCTGGTCACGTAAGATTTGTTAAATAAAAGGGAACTCTTTAGCTACAATGTATCAATGTTATGTTATAAAACAAATGGTAAACACCACAGCGTACACTATTGAGTTATGGATGCACTTGGGAGGTTTGCTAAGCACTCAAGAAGCTAGAGTCGCTCTCGGCTATCGCCTCGAGCGACTCTTACGCTTCTTTCGTGCTTAGCAACCTCCCGCGTGCATCCATAACTCAATAGTGTACGCTGTGGTGTTTACCATTTGTTAAATCGAGTGCGAATTTCGAACTACCATGAAACTCCGAAAAAAAACGATAAGGAGCATCGGGAAACATCGGGTCGAAATCGGGTCAAGATCGGAATTCTATCGTTACACTCAATCACCCACGTAATCACACATCGCTCCCTGAAGGAGACAGAAGCCACAAAAATGTCTTTACATCGACTATAACACGAAATAGTACTGGTCATCGATCCCTTAAACTACCATTAGTGACCAAGATAGAATTTTTCCTTACAATATCAAGACAATATCAAGCAGACAAATGATGAAAATGAATCCAAATATCAATTAGGGGATTATTAGCTGATCCAATACTAAATTACTCAAACTCATATCATGAATTTATGGAAAACAGTAAGGAAAATTTGAAATGAGATCTTTGGAGTACAAGAGTTCGTTGCGGGTTAAGCTCAGGGCCAGATGTTTCAGGATGTTTAGCAAGGTTTAGGATAAGGAAAGGAAAAAAAAACACGACGTCTTTCTTCTCGAAAGGTAAGCTATTGATTCTGGCTGATAATGACAATTGAGAACTTAAAATTATTTGAAAAGTCCATCATTCTTTTCGAAAACTAAATCACATACAGGTTTTCTGACGGAAAGCTTTCATACGAGCAGTTTTAATCAAAATTAATTAACCTGTACAAGATAATTCCATTTATTTCCGTTTCCATAATAAGCGATATTACGCTTTTAAAATCTTCCAGGTTAAAGTTCATCTCTTCGAAATCACTTAAACGCATGCGCGGTCCCTTACACAGCATCAAAGTCACCAATTTAAAATCATATAAATGGAGAAGCAAAGTTAAACTAGCGCGACATTCCTAATTTTGATTATCATTTTAATATCTGACCGCAAATTTAGCGCTAACAAAATTAACTATATCGGTTGAAACTACAACAAATAGCATCAAAGGAGTAAAATGCAGTTGCGGCAAGAAATCTATTCTTTCACGTTTTTACTGGATGCAAGAAAATCGAATAGTTTGTTTGTATTGATAATTTGTTATAATTATACCAGCTTCATTAAAACGGAAGGTAGGTGAGGTAAGAGAAATGATAGTAATAATAATAATAATAATAATAATAATAATAATGGTAATAATACCCTCCTCTGGATTGAGAACAGAGGAAAGAAAGATGAAGAGAAGTCAGTATGGTCCACTATGATGGGAGTTACAAGAACGGTACCCTGGATATACATTCCAGCAGCACAATATTATCATGGACGTGCTTGGGTCAATGACTATGGAAGAGGGATTACGGAAGTTGTTGGGAAAAAAGACAGAAGATGTACTTCGAAACATGCAGAAGTCCGTAGTGTTGAGTACGTTGAACATTGCGAGGACTTTTAGATCATAACATGAACAGTAAAACTACAAAAGGAACTTTTGAAAGGTTGAACATTATAAGAACGTTATATAAGCATGAAGTTTATTCCTACGTATGAATATTAATTTGAAGGACAGCTTTAAACATTGAAGGAAATTTAAATATTGAGCTCCGTATATTAGAAGATTAATCGACTTATGTAGAGAATTTAGTTTATAAGTTTTTTACAATAATCTTATTCACAGAACGTGACTTAGTTGTCATGTATATTAATAATAGATTGTAAATTACCGATGGTAGTATTAGTTGTATCTTAAATAATTTTCCATGTTAGCAAACAAGTTTTTATATTTTTTATAAGTGCAACGATGTGTAGTTTCATAGATTACGCTGTGCGCCCTATGAAACTTTCTTTTCCTGGCATGCTGAAGTTCAATAAACTGCGTAATAATAAAGTACAACTATATTGTAACATGGCAGATTTTTAATGCACTCTGTCCAAATATTTAGATTACGGAAGAAAACGTCAATTAACATATTTTAACCGAAGAAAATTCAGATACCGTAAGGGAGGAGAATGATTTCTTCGTCCCCTGCAGGCACAAGGATTAAAGTACCGTTATCGCTTCGATGCCTTTTCAAGGCTGAAGAAATTCACCGGAAAATACATCCCAGGTGACCGAAGGGAAACAAAGAATTCAATAGAAAATTGAGGAGTTCAAGACGTATTGTGTTTAACAATGTGCATAAAACTGCACATCACTCGGGTGATAACTTCTCTACGAAGTGCAAATGAACCCAGCTTTTACAGAAATGTTATCGGCTTGAATGGACAACTACAAGAGCAATACATATTTTATGTTAACATAAATTTCACCTTTGGATGAGCGAAATCTTCTCCACTGAAATTGAATCAAGTTCTCTACAATCAAAACCCACGAGATCTTGTTTATTTCTCATTAATTACAGAGTTCGAACTTTCGACCCTTAACTTTCATACGTTTCTTTTGTTAAAGTAAACGTTTTGATCTAATTATGAAAGCGGGGCTTTTTCAATTACGCTCCACAAAGTCACGAGTCGAAACAAGTTCCTCAGCAAAACATCTTTCCGTTATGTAACACTTACGTAGAATAAGGAGTTACGAGGTTAACGACACTTTAATGTGGCATCTTGTTGAAACACATATAGATCGTTCAAACATTTCCGTTCATTCTATTTTTTTCTAGCTCCGTGTAGATCCCAGCTTGAATGTGACAACCAAAGAACTTGACTGCGATAACCAAAGAACCTTCAGGAAAGAAAGAATATTTGATATTAACTAACAGTAACAAAATTCAAAACCGACATCGAAGAGGAACATAGAAGATCATTGATCAAAAACAGGTTTAATTTTTTTTTAACCTGAAAGTGGAGTCACTTACACACCAAGAGGTAGCAGAGGAAACATCACGTGGAACTGAAGCTGAGGTAAGACCTTACGAAGCCGGTCCCTCTGGAACGTTCAGCATAGGCGAGTAAATTCCACTTTTCGGTTTGAAACGCAATAACTGCATCTTAAACAGTTTTTTTTTTCAAGCATTTCTCATATTTCTCCTAAAGAGATTCTGTACTGGATTTTTCCTTCTCTTTCATTGCTACTTTTGAACACTGTGATTTTTAAGGCTTAAAAAAAGTCTCACCGTTGATACTTTGCTTCCAGGTAATCTGTTTTTTATTAGGGTAGGCATTGTATATTTAAAATCACCTTGGCCATAAAGTCAGTTCGTAAACAACAACAACAACAAGAAAAACATCGCAGAACGTGCAGTGAATTTTAATGACATGGCGCATCTTTCGAGAACCTTCTTCAAAGCATAATGGATTCAGGGTAAGAATTTTGGCGAGAACAAATAAGCTTCGTGAAACGATACCTGGCTAAATTCCCGGATGGGCCACGGCGCGGAAAGTAACCACCGATTCAAAACTGTAGCGAGGCTAGTGTCACGTTCCTATGAAGGGTAGATCATGTTACGTGTGTGTTTATCAAAACCTGTTAGAGGACTCAGTTAGCAAGGTAGACCCCCCGTAAGTTCAAAAGAAGAAAATCATCTCTGCTAGGTTTTTATTTCATTTACGTGAACTATAGACGACAGTTTATTGTTTTATTTCAGTCTGCAGTCAGTAACGGAACTTGTTGTCGAAGAACACGAAACCAACACAGTTCGAAATGATTTCCCAAAATTAGAAACCTTTTGGGATGATCTGCTGTCAATCATAAGCCTAGCCGAGACCTAAAGTTTCGGTTGATTGCGTAACAAATCGAACACTACCGAAAGTTACCATGTGACTACGGTGTCATGCACACACCCAGAATCAATTACTGCTGCACACTCGCTAAAGGGTCAAGTTACATTTCATAGTAGTCGCTTTCAAACAACAATTTAGAGTGTAACACTTCAGAGCTTGAGTCTTCAAATAATATTGAAAGAAAAATTCAACAGTAAAATTCAAGACCTGGTTCAGTTCAGGAAAAAATTTCAAGTTTCGCATCCTCATTTTAATCGAAGGGGACGAAACATAGAAACATTAAAACTACAGATTAACTATTCTTGCATGCTGTTCAACAAGAACAAGAGTCAATTTAAGGGATGCTTTCGATTCCGCTTCTCTCTCATCGTTCGATTGCGTTCGTTTCTTGGCTCGAGTTATTGTCGTATTAAGATCGTCGTCGCTTCGTATCGCCAATGGGAAGGAAGGGATCCTCCACCAAACACTTCGAATCTCCGCAATTCAGCACAAAAATAAACACTGAAGAAGATGAAGACTTGTTAAGCGCATCATTTGCATAACAATACGATCAGGACGTTTGATTTGCACTCAGCGAGGAATAAAGGTGGTTGGATCAGCTTTAAATTCCCACTTGTGACAAGCGACATCAACCCCGTAATTTCAGGAAGCACATGGGTCTGTTCCCTTCTCTTTTGATAGTAAAATGATAATTTACCATAAAGTGTTATCTGGGTGTAAGCAACAAACCGAGATGAGGTTATTATCTGACTAGGCGTTCCATAAACGGGCTTTAATCAAATTTCCTTTGGGTGGCATGGCAAAGGTTTGGCCGGTTTTATTACNTTCTTGTTAAGTGTTTTACCTATACCCATAAATAAAGAGTTGCAGTTTTCAAAATTTAATAATACAAAACTCTTGTAAAGAAGTAATATGGTATCTGCGGTATTAAGCGCTTAAGGTGGCGCCTATCTTAGAATATACTTTCTTTAACATGATATTTATATGTTCCTTAAAAGATAATGTGTTATCTAAACATATTCCAAATAGCGCTCTCTACTGCGAGGATCGTGCATCATACGGATCTTTAGTTGGTCTTTAATATCGACGGAAGTGCCGGCAAACTCCAGGTCATATCGATAGGATGAGTTTCCAAGGATCATCGCTTGGGTCTTGTCCTCGTTGACCTGTAGATAGTTAGAGACAAACCAGGAAGATAGTCTTCCCATGTCTTGGTTTAATATGTGTTGAAGAACAGTTGGGCTATGATTGGCCGTATATTGAGTTGTATCGTCTACATAGAGGCGGAGGGAGGAAACGGTGACGGTTTCGTTTATGTCGTTCATAAAGATGTTAAATAGTAAGGGACTAAGGAGACTTCCCTGTGGAACGCCACATCGTACCGGTGACCAGCTAGAGCACTTGTTGTTGCATATTACCCTTTGCTTGCGGCTAGGCAGATATGATCTTAAGAGTTGAAGAACCGGTACCTGAACGCCATAAGCCTTTACTTTTGCAAGCAGTAAATTATAGCATATGCTGCCAAAAGCCTTGGACAAGTCGATGGCAATCACACCCATCTCCTTCTTTTCGTCAAGGGCGCTTCTCCAATCATCCCTCAATTTGATTAGCGCCGTAGCGCATGAGTGTCCCTTGAGGAAGCCTGATATGTTAGATGAAAGTGTAGGTGCGAAAGAGGCATAGAGCTGATCAAAAATTACATTTTCAAATAGTTTGGAGATTGCAGGAAGGACACTGACTGATCGATGATTGTTCTTGTTGGTTGCTTCATTCTTTTTGTGGATAGGGGTGACATTACTCATTTTCCAATCACTTGGAAGAGTACTTGTGCGAATGCAGTAGTTAAACAGATTTGTCACAGGTGTAGCCAGGGCTGCAGCAGATATATAGTTTCAGAATCTTCGGAGAAAGGCCATCGTGGCCAGTAGCTTTCTTGACATTTAACTTAAGTAAATTGTCTATTATGACTTTCGTTTTAATTTCCGTAAAACTAAAGTCAAGTAGGTACGACTTGTTCTTTATTGCTGCAATGCTGGAATGGCCGCTAAAAACCTCTTCTGTGAGATTTTAGCACAGCGCTCGGATTAGATATTAGTTGCCCATTGTCCAAAAGGTGGATGTGAGCAGAAGCATCGATATTCGATTTGTTATTTGGGAGAAGCGGTTTCATCTTTTTTCAGAATAGACCAGTAGATGATGTTGTTGAGGCCATATCAGCACCAATTTAAATCTGTTGGTACACGACGAAACTTCTTGTAGAGTCGATTTCGTGTTCGAATCTGCTTTTGAATGTCGGCGCTGATCCACGGCAATTGGTTGTTGCAAAGCTGTATTCGTTTCACAGGTGCATGTTCGTCGATCGGGGACTTCTTTGAACAGGCCAGACCAATGAGACCATATATCGTCGATGTTTTCAAAGAGGTAAGAGCTGTTCCATGGAATGTTTCTCAAATCAGAGAGAAAAGCATTTTGATCCAAATTCTTCATAGATCTAAAATCTATTAGGTCTTGGCAACTTTTGTTTCTTAACATCGAAAATCAAATCGTGATCACTAATCCCAAATTGCAAATTCCGCTTGTTGCTAGTCTCTCAGGGTGTGATGTTAGAACAATGTCAAGCAATGTGCTTGAACAATTAGTTGTTCTCATAGCCTCGTGAATAACGTTAGTTAGGCAAAATTGTTCTATGAAACTGGTTAGATCTTTCTTAGGGCCGTTTAAGTTATCAGAGGATTCAAGTGCCTCCCGGTTAGCTCAATGGGTAGAGCGCTGGACTATTGTGTGGGAGATCGAGGGTTCGAGCCCCGACCAGACCAACGCTCAGGGTCTTAAAATAATTGAGAAGAATTTGCTGCCTTTCTATAACATCAAGAAACGGTTAGATATTCTAGTCTTCTCGGATAGGGACGAATAAATGGAGGTCCCGTCTCCTGCAGGGTTGGGGTAGGAGACGTTAATTTCCCACACACGAGATTACTGTGTGATGGATGTCCTCCCCTGGGGTGGGATGGGTGGG